GGTGAAGATCGCTGTGGATGGGCCGCCCCTGCCCGAGTTTGACTTCGCGCTGGCCGTGGAGTTCTTAGAGAGTGGGTGGGGGGAGGGGCTGCTGGGGTCGCAGCTCTCTTGAGGGTGGCCTGCCTCTCTCGCCCTGGGCACTCTGAGGGCTAAGCCAGACCTGACCTTGCTGCACCCAAGCTGACCTAACTGTGGCCACCCGCGGACCTGAGGCCACCCACCCATCCTCCCCTCCCTTCCTCTGCTCCCTGCAGAGATGAACCCTGCCCAGCTAGGGAGGAAGGGACTGGGTGACCAGGGGCCTGGGCCGGTGGGCAGAGATGCTGGGATCTGGGGCACCCCAAATCACTCCTGGGCTTTTCACAGCTGGTGAGGGCTAGTTCACCCTTTTCCCTTCTGGACTCGGACCAAGTTCTGGCCCTAGAAAGGTTGAGGGTCTTGGCTGGAGGGAGGAGGAGTGGGTCTTGGGATTTGAGGGGCTGAGGGAAAGGAGAGGTGGTCCTTGACTGTTTCTTACCTATCCTGGTAGCATCTCTTCAGGTATGACTGGAGAGCAGATGGCCATACTTGTTTTTGATGCACAACACAGCACCCTCTCTCTGTGCACAAGTGGTTCAAGGGCACAGTGGTTCAAGGGAGATAGCGGTGCCCTCCCTCCCCTCCTCAGCAATAGGCTACCTGCGGACTTTCCTGTATCTGTCTGTGTATTTAGACATCGGCGTCTCTAAATGTGAAATAAATCTAGCCTATCTTTCATAGTGTTAACACAAAACCCTAAAAGGGCTTCTTTTGGTTTTGCAATGACAGGATCCCAAAACGTCCCAAGTGGCCTGGGTTTTTTTCTAATTTTTTTCTTCCTCAACATCTGGTTGCTCACCAAGTCCCCATCCCTCCCCTGTCCCGGCTTCAGACTTCTAAGACCAGAGTACAAAACCATGGTGTTGAGAACCAGCCTCTCGGCCCAACCCAGGATGTGTGGAGGAAGCAGTCTGGGCTCACCAGAGCTGGGCAGCAACGCCTCCCCAGAGTCCACGGTCTCCTGTTCCCCACCACAGCCCTTGCTGCGAATGGTGTAGGGGTCTGGAGGTGGGCAGGTGGTTAGAGTGAGAGGAACAGGGGCAGGGCTTTGCCCTAGTCCCCTGGGTTGGAGTTTAATTTGCAATAAAGTGGAAACCCAGCGCCAGATGCAGACTCCATGGTGATGTGTATGGCAGGGTACGCCCTGTCCCCTCTGTCCCTGCTCTTGGCTGGACTCCCCCTGGGGGCTCAGGTGCACCTCTGAGCTGCCTCTGTAGGGGCAGAGGGTCATCCCTCTGGGCTGAGAGCCTTGAGCTGTGAATCCCCTGCCTGTTTCCCAAGCTGTGAGGAGGAGGGGCACAGGAACAAGGGTTGCCATGGCCCTGGGCTTGGCGGGCGACGCTGGGTGGAGAGGATTGGGGATTCCTGCCCTGGCTCCCCACCTGAGGAGCCCGTCGGGCTCTCCTGGCTGCGGAGGTAGGAGCGAGCCCTGTGGTGCCCTGTTTCAGACCCTGCCCTTCTTCCTCCTGTAGCAGGCCCAGCCTCCAGCGCCCCCAGCCCCCTGCTGGCCTCGCTGCCCCTGCCCGCCCGGCCTCTGCAGCCCCCGCTGGACTTCAAGCATTTGCTCGCCTTCCACTTCAATGGCGCCGCCCCGCTCAGTCTCTTCCCCGGCTTCAGCACGGTACGGCCGGGCTGTCGGGTGGGGGCATGCGGCAAGCTCATGGGGGGGCCGAAGGGGGCTCAGGGGCCAGCTCTCAGCAGCTGGGTCTAGCCAGGAGCTCATCTCACAGAGGGACTAGGTGCTCCCCAAACAGGGACCCCTGGGTCCTGTTCTCTCCTAGGTTGGGGAACACAGGGTAACCCATTCACCACCCACCCACCTGCCCGCCATCACACCTATAGGTCACCTGTAGGTCCGTCCCACTTGGGATTTTGTGTAGGGACTTCTGTGGATGACAAATGTATGTCTGTGTAAGATTGAGGGCATGCCTTTCTGTTGTACTTTGTGTCTCTGGTGTGAATTTGTGTGTTGGGGTCCAGTAAGCAACTCTTCGTACCTGGGTGTTTGTATGCAATTAATATGAGTGCATGGGCCAGGCACGGTGGCTCACACCTATAATCCCAGCACTTTGGGAGGCCAAGGTGAGGGGATTGCCTGAGCCCATGGGTTCAAGACCAACCTGGGCAACTTGGCAAGATCTCATCTCTACAATAAATCAAAAAATTAGCCGGGCGTGGTGGCGTGTGCCTGTAGTTCCAGCTACTTGGAAGACAAGTGGAAAGATCACCTGAGCCCAGCAGGTTGAGGCTACGGTGGCTCTGGGCATACCACTGACTCGGATTCCAAAAAAAAAAAAAAATTGTATGCATGACCTGGTTCAGTGGCTCACGACTGTAATCCCAGCACTTTGAGAGGCCGAGACAGGAGGACTGCTTGAGCCCAGGAGTTTGAGGCCAGCCTAGGCTCATCTCTACAAAAAACAATTAGCCAGGCATGGTGGTATGCATCTGTAGTCCCAGCTACTCAGGAGGCTGAGGTGGGAGGATCACCTGAGCCCAGGTGGTTGAGGCTGCGGTGAGCTGTAATCGTGCTACTGCACTCCAGCCTGAGCAACAAAATAAGACCCTGACTCAAAAACAAACAAACAAACAAAAGTTTGTGTGCCTGTGAACCTGCAGGGCAAGGGATTGCCCTGGTGTCTTCTATGTGTGTATCTGGTGTATGCCTGACCTTGGAGCGTGTGTGTTTTTGTGTGGCTTGGGTGAATGTGAGTTTAACTGTGGACATGCATCATGTGTGCGTGAGTGTGTGTGCTTCTGCCTGTGAGTTTGTAGCTGCCTTTAAGCTTATGTGCTTAAAGTCTCCATTTCTGTGTGTGTGAATAAGTGTAGTATGAAGCTTATTCTTTTTTTTTTTTCATGTCTTAAAATCCAGCTGGGATGTGGTATGAATTTTGCTTCTCCTCATGCAGTATCAAGAGTCCCCTTCTTTTTTGAATTCTGATAAAGCAAATGGAATCATGGACTAGCCCCGCCCTTTCCCGACAGGGTGCTGGCAAGTTCTGTCTCAGTCACGCATAGGACTCCTTCCTCTCCCATCCCCTGGGGAGTACAGAGGTCCCAAGGAGCCTGAGATGAGGGAGTCCTCCGGCCTAGAGTCGCTGCTGTCAGTGCTGTCACGCTCACTGTTCAAAGATGTGGTCCCATTGCAGGGGGCCCTGCAGACCACTGCCCTCCAGCCTGAGCAACATAATAAGACCCTGACTTTTTGAATTCTGATGAAGCAAATGGAATCATGGACTAGCCCCGCCCCTTCCTGACGTCCTGTCCCCGAGCACCTGGTTAGCCCAGGTGGTGTGAGGACTAGAACCTCTTTTGGTTCCCAAGGATGTTTCTATATGGTGTGCTTCTCTCCGAGCTTTTCGCTTCCCTTGGGAAAGTTTGGAAGGTTCCCCTTGACAAGTCCACACAACTTCTGCTTGGGATCAACCATGAGGGCTCCTGAGAAAAGAAAACATAAAGCTTTGGTTTGATAGAAGAAGAAACAAAAGTCTTAAAATAAGGGAAAGAAAAAGACCCAAATTAATTTTCCAGAAAACTGATCCTGCCACTCAGGGAACCCTCAGGCCTGTCCCGATGTGGCCCCCACGGGCCATGGCTCTCACTCCCCCGAGCCCGTCGGAAACCTCGGACCCTATGACAGTGGCAGGGCTGATGCCATTGGACTTCTCTTCCTCAGCACCCGGGTCCAAGCCTGGAGGACATTTTAGCAGAAGGATTCTGTGGCCCTTCCTCTCTCCATCCCAGTGGTTGTGATTCTTGCAAAGGAGGAAGCAAACAAACAAAACAACAGTGACTAGAGGGGAAGCAAAAGATGCCAAGCTGACCACCAGGATACGGTTCTGTTTCCCAAAACCATGCCGGTCATCCTGGCCATCCTCCTGCCTCCAAGCAGAAGCCCAGGCTGACAACTGGAGTCAGCCAGAGAAGAGGCTGTTTCTTTTTGTGTCTGACACCCATGGGATGGAAAGTTCTTCCTCAAGCCTGACTACAGCCCTCCTCAAGAGTCTTTAGTTTAAGGCCTTTTTTTTTCTTTTTTTTGAGTCAGAATCTCCCTCTGTTGCTCAGGCTGGAATGCAGTGTCACACTCATGGCCACCATAGCCTTGACCTGCTGGGCTCAGGTGATCCTTCCACCTCAGCCTTCCCAGTATCTGTAACTACAGGTGTGCGCCACCACGCCTGACTAATTTTTTTGATTTACTGTAGAGACAAGGTCTTGCCATGTTGCCCGGGCTGGTCTCAAACCTATGAGCTCAGGCAACCCTCTCACCTCTGCCTCCCAAAGTGCTGAGATGACAGGTGTGAACCACTGCGCCCAGGTAGCTTAAGGCATTTTTGTACCACCCTCCCCCCAATCCCCAAGCCAACCCTGGAGTTACTGTGTCCCCCAACCCCTTCACAGATGGACCCGGTCCAGAAAGCCGTCATCAGTCACACGTTTGGGGTCCCCACCCCTCTGAAGAAGAAGCTCTTCATCTCTTGTAACATCTGCCACCTGAGGTTCAACTCAGCGGTGAGAGGGAGCAGCGGAAACAGGTCTGGGGAGGGGGCTGGGCAGGGCCAGGCTGGAGACAGGGCTTCCGGGGTCCTTCCGGGAGGAATCCTGGCGGCAGGGGCCGTGGGCCGCTTTCCCATCCTTGGTTGCAGAGGAGAGACACTCTAGCCATCCGGTCCTCTCCTCTCCCTGGGTCCCTCTGCTCTTTTCCTCAACCCCCTGCTGCCCAGCTCCCTGCCTAGCCCCCTGGGATTCTGTTTCCCTCCCCTATGCCTCTCTCCTACGTTCTGGATCTTTCTGTCCTTCCTCCACGCTGGGTGGGTTCCAGGGGCCACCCCATCAGCTCCTGGTCTGGACCTGAGTTTTTAAAGCACCTGAGAGTTTACAGAATGTGTTCCTGCCCATCACCAAGCTTAGTTTTCATGATACAACTGTGGGATGGGCAGAGGTGCTATTTTCTTTTTCTTTCTTGTTTTTTTTTTGAGTTGGAGTCTCACTCTGTCGCCCAGACTGGAGTGCAGTGACACGCTCCCGGCCAAAGCAGCCTCGACCTGCTGGGCTCAGGTGATCCTTCCGCCTCAGCCTTCCAAGAAGCTGGAACTACAGGCATGTGACACCATGCCTGGCTTATTTTTTGACTTATTGTGGAGACAAGATCTTGCCAAGTTGCCTGGGCTGGTCTTGAACCCCTGGGCTCAGGCAATCTTCTTGCCTCAGCCACCCAAAGTGCTGGGATTACGGGCATGAGTCACCATGCCCAGCTTTTTTTTTTTTTTTTTTTGAGCCTGGGTCTCAGTCTTGTTGTCCATCCAGGCTAGAGTGCAATGACATGATCATTGCTCACCTCAGCCTTGAGCTCCTAGGCTCAGGCAATCCTCCTGCCTCAGCCTCCCAAGTAGCTGGGACTATAGGCACATCCCATCATGGCCAGCTAATTTTTTTTTTTTTCCTGTGGCAACGGCTTGCTATGTTGCCCAGGCTGGTCTCAAACTCCTGGGCTCAAGCGATCCTCCCACCTCAGCTTCCCAAAGTGTTGGGATTACAGGTATGTGTCACCGCGCCCGGCCTGAGAGGCGCTATTTTCATCCCTGCTTTTCAGATGAGGAAGCTGAGCCTCAGAGAAGTTAAGAGACTTGCCTGAGGCCACACAGCTGGTAAGGAGCAAAGCTGGGATTTGAACCTCAGCCCAGCTGACTCCAAGGTCCGCAGACTCTACTGCAGCCTCCCCTGGGTGGAGGGGGAGCCTCATACTGGCCTCCCAGGGAAGGTTTACTTCCTGTTGGGGCATTTTGGGGTGTGGGCCAGGTATCAGCAGAACTGCTGGGGTAAAAGTGTCTAGGAGGGGCCTGGGGTGGGTATCAACAGGTGGGGATGTTGACAGGCCAGGGGGCAGGACATTGATAGGCCAGGTTCTGGGGTTCCCTCAGACTTTCAGCTGGCATGAGTCCTGCAAGACGGGGACAGAAAATCACTCTGGGGGGACCACGGCTTCATTCTGGACCCCTGATACAGTGCCTAGCAGACTGCAAATGCTCACTAGCTACTTGTTGAAGAAATGAACACAGAGATGTGTGTTCTGGGGTATATGTACCCCTAACGTGAGGACTGCCCTGTTTTTTCTTTTGTGCATTTATCAGCTCATTCACTGAGCACCTGCTGTATGCACTCGCCCCTTAACTCATGTTCCCATTTAATTTTGACAACCTGACGAGGTTGGTATTGTCATCACAAAGCTTATGGGCGAGGAAGCTCAGGCTCAGAGACGGGATGTCACTTGCCCCAGGATGCGAAGCTCAGGCTCAGAGACGGGATGTCACTTGCCCCAGGATGCACAGTGAATCCGTGGCTGAGTCAGAATTTGAAGCCAGAGGCTGCCTGCCTTGGAGCTGGTATACGAGAACGCATTCTGTTGCACACGTGCTGTAGTGACAATGATGACGATGAAGAGGACTTGTCCCGGGGTGGGCCAAGCCCTGCTTCCCTTCAGCCTGTCCCCCTGCCCAGCTCCAAGTCACAGATGGGGCACGTGGACTCCGCAAATGGATGTTGACCTCATTCCCCCCCACCCCAGAACCAGGCAGAAGCACATTATAAAGGCCACAAACACGCCAGAAAACTCAAGGCTGTCGAAGCTGCCAAAAGCAAGCAGAGGCCACAGACCCTGGCCCAGGACGGGACCACAGTGTCCCCAACCCTGACGCTGGCTGGTGGAGCCCCTGGAGAGTCGCAGAGCACAGGTCAGTCCTGAACTCTCCTCGTCCCCTCTCCCCATCCCAAGTCCACTTTCCTACACGGTGGGGAGATTTCTGCTCGTTGTTTTGCTGGTGCTGGAGTGCTCCAGGCACGCAGGCAAAGGCACACAGTGCTCGGCTCGATGATTGCCCCCAACCTGAACACACCCAGAACAAGCATGGTGTGGCTCCCTGGAAGCCTGCCCCGCTCCCCCTCCTGTCCCTGCCTTGCGGAATTAGTTCCTGGGGCTGCCATCGCCAATGGCCACACACTGGGCGGCGGAAAACAACAGAAACGTGTGTGTCCCTCCGCTCTGGAGGGCAGAAGTGAAGCCAGTTCCTTCTGGGGCGCATGCCTGTCTTCTAGCTTCTGGTGGCCACGGGCCGTCCTCGGCGTGCCTTGGCTCACAGATGTGTCACCCAGTTCTACTTCCCTCCTCACACCATACTGTCCCCTGTGTGTCTCTGTGTCATCACATGCTCTTATGAGGACACCCATCACTGGGTGGGTCCCATCTGAATCCAGCAGGACCTTCTCTCTCTTAAGTTGATTTGCAAAGACCCTGTTTCCAAAGAAGGTCACATTCCGAAGTTCCAGATGGGCATGAACTTTGAGGGGGGCATTATTCAACCAACTGCGACCCTCCCCCAGGGCAATTACCATCATGACTTCCTCAGCATAGATCTGTTTCATCTGGGTTTGCTGCATCACAGAGCATGTGGGTCTCTGTGTCTGCTTTTTGTCTCACGAGCCATTCAGCAGCATTCATCATGTCTCTAAGACCTATCCGTGCCTTTGCACGACGCTGTAATTCTTGTTCATTGCTGTGTAGTACTCCATGGCTTGAACATGCCACTGTTTATTTCTATTTATTATTCCATTGCTCATGTAAACAGAAATACCACAATTAAAAAAAAATCTTTTCTCCTGTTGATGGACATTTGAATAGTTTGTAGTTCCATGCTCTTGTGACTAGTGTTCCATGAACAATTGAGTACCTCTTTTTAGTGGTATCTGCTTATTTGACAGCAAATAAGTAGGATATCGGGACTATGAGGGCTGAGAACATGCCGTCCAGCTTTATGATTTCAGATGGGGAAACTGAGGCCCAAGTCTTCCCAATGAGTTGGTGGGAGAGTGGGGCTTGGAGTTCAGCGCTAGTCACCCCTACATCCGGGGAGGGGTCCTTCCACCCTACCATGCCACCCCTGTTGTCAGTGCTGAAAGTCACAGTCTCGGCTTCATCTCAGGAGAAGGGGGCCTCACACTCTTTCCCCTCTATCTCCCCAGCAGGAGGGGAGGGAGGGCCTCACACTCTCCCCCCCCCCATCTCCATCTCCACAGCAGGAGGGGAGAGAGGGCCTCACACTTTCCCCCACTCCATCTCCCCAGCCATTCCTGCAGCCCCTTCTCTTGGCCCTCCACTCCAGCCACCGCTGACTCCGGAACCCACATTCAAGGAACCAGTCCCCTCAGACCTCTTGGATGCTGCCTCCTCTTCCTCTTCTTCCTCCTGCCTGCCCTGCTCCCCGGAGCCTGGGAGAGAGGCGCCAGGGCCGGAGCCGGCGGCGGCAGCTGCCGCGGGAAGCAGTGTGAGTGGGGAAGGCAGGAGCGAGAAGGGGCGCCTCTACTGCCCCACGTGTAAGGTGACCGTGAACTCAGCCTCCCAGCTTCAGGCTCACAACACAGGTCAGTGGCCTCCAGGAGCTGGAGCCTGGGGAGGAGGGAGGCAGGGAGGCTGAGCCTCACCAGGCTTGGGCTCCTGGGTGCTGTGCTCAAGGGCTGGGCGGCAGAGGCTGTACCCAGCTGCTAGTGGGCAGGCATTTCTGGGTCCTCCCGTTAATTCCCGGGGAGGGAGGATCAGAAGAGGAGTCTGAGGCGCCAAGAATCGAAAGCCAGTAAATCTCTGAAGGATCACTTCAGGGACAGGAGACTCCTCCTCCATCTCTCCTGGACAGAACCAGAAGGAAGAGTTGAGGTTAGGGCAGCAGGGACACTGGCCAGTGGCGGTGCAAAGAGGCCCTCCCTGGTGGAGGCTGGTGGGGAGAGGAGCTGTGGGGAGTCACCTGTGGCTGGGGAGCAGCCTTGAGGCTTAATGGGATGGCCACAGGGTCCTAGTTCCAAGGGCCTCTGGGCTGAGACTGCCTCCCTTTCTCCCTCCAGGAGCCAAGCACCGGTGGATGGTGGAAGGCCAGCGAGGGGCTCCCCGCAGGGGCCGAGGCCGCCCGGTGTCTCGGGGAGGGGCCGGACGCAAGGCCAAGAGAGTGGCGGGTGGCCGGGGTGGCCGGCAGGGACCCAGCCCCCCCTTCCACTGTGCTGTCTGTCAGCTCCAGGTCAACTCAGAGACCCAACTCAAGCAGGTGGGAGAAGTGAGGCAGGTGGGGTTGGAGCGGAGATGGGGGGCGACCCAAGGCAGGAGGAGAGGGGCCTGGAGAGGGAGGGTGGACAGGGCAGGGAGGCTGGAAAGGCGCAAGGCCAGCAGGGTCATAGGCTCCTAGAGGGCAAGGCCAAGTCTCGCCTCCCCCTCCAGGGCCTGTCCAGGTGAGGAGCTCCCAATGGGCCTGAGTTGTGGGTCCAGCATGACAGGGCAGGTCGGGGTCCTTGGGCTTCCTCATCTTGTTCCCGGCCTTGTCTGTCTGTCCACTAGCACATGAGCAGCAGGAGGCACAAAGACCGCCTGGCCGGGAAGCCCCCCAAGCCCTCCAGCCAGCACAGCAAGCTGCAGAAGCACGCCGTGCTGGCCATGAGTGTCCTCAAGGTATCTTTCCAGGCAGCAGCCCTGGGGTGGAGAAAGAGGGGAGAGGGTGGGCTGGGGGCTGGCCAGCGGGATTGGGGCAGGAAGGAGACCACTTGCTCGCTGGCTGCTGAGAACAAGCTGGGGCTGGGTTCTGGGCTGTCTTGGGATCTGCCCAGAGGAATTTCCGGGGAGGCGGGCTTGGGCAGTCATCTCAAGGGCAGAGGCGAGGGGTGGGCGTGCATCTCCTGGAGACCATCCCCCCCAGCTTCCTCCCCTCTCCCATCCTGAGATTCCCATCCCTCTGGGCAGGAAGACAGGTGGTGGAGAAAGCCCTTCGGAATGAGCACCTGAGGGTAGGAGGAGGACTTAGGGTTGGAACGCTAAAAGGCACGTTTTTCCTGCAGCAAAAAGCCCGAGGGTGGGGTCTGGGGAGGGATGGGCTTACTGGGGTAGGGACCGTGTCCATCCCCCTCTTTTCTGTGTAGTCTAAACTGGCCTTGCAGAAGCAGCTCACCAAGACGCTGGCGGCCCGCTTCCTGCCTAGCCCGCTCCCCGCCGCTGCCGCAGCCATCTGCGCCCTGCCAGGGCCCCTGGCCCTCCGCCCTGCCCCCACCGCAGCCACGACTATCTTCCCAGCTCCCATCCTGGGCCCGGCTCTGTTCCGCACCCCAGCGGGAACTGTCCGCCCTGCCACGGGACCCCTCGTTTTTGCCCCCTACTAGCCCTCCTGGGGGGCCAGGGCTGACTTCCCAGCAGCCGGTTCCTCTGTCCCACAGGGACTGCCAACACACAGCTTGGGGGTCCGACCCGGTCTAGGAAGAACGGAGCTAGTTCTAAGGGGGTCCCTCGCTCCCTGGGCTGGATCCAAAGCCCATCCCCACCTCCTCCCAGGCTAGTCCCAGGCTCCTGCATTCCCTGGCCTGATAAATCCCAAAGATCTATGCAAAACCCCAGCCCAGCCACGTGGTGCTGTCACTCCCCTCCACAATGAGCCAGGCTTTCCCAGCCCAGGACGTGTCTGTGACTCTGTTCCCCTGCTCAGCCCTCACTGGAGAGGACTGGGGTCTCAAGCTGGAGCGGGCTCAAGGCCATGAGGACAAGGTGGCCATGGGGGCTGGCAGAGGACTGTGGAGGAGAAATTGGGACCCAGGGGCCCCTGGATCAAGCAGTGCTAAGTGGGGCAGAGCCAAGGAGCTTCTGAAAGCTTGAGGGGTCTCTCACATGCTCCGTAGTGATGGGGGGTGAGAGTGATGTTCTGGCTGGGCCCAGTCTTCATGGGGGGATGACCCCCCCACAAAAGCGCTCCCTTCTCAGCCTTTCCCTGGCTCCTCTGAACTACAACTCTTTGGGGGGAACTGGATTTCCCTGACTGTAGACTCAGCCGACACCAAATCCCCCAGGGTCCAAAGGAGGTGCTTTCCTGACAGCTCCCCAACCAGCTGGTCACCAGCCCCCCCTTGAGGGTGCATGCTGGAATGCAGGCTGACACAGGTCCCAGGACGGTTCTCACGTATCAAAGTCACTGTCACCAACTCCATCCCAGCCAGCACTGCCCCCACCCCACAACATGGGACTCTGCGGGTCTCCACCTGTATCTTTTTAAAAAAGCTATTGTCATTGGGAGAACAAGTGGGGAGGGAGGGCAACTTTTTGATAACAGCAGTCGTGGTTTTATTGTGTCCAATGCATCAATAAATGAACTTGAAGCCCAAGCCCGTGTACCTCCTAGTCCTGCGTGCCCAGCCCCGGTACCGCCCCACTCCCCTCTCGGATTCTGGGAGGGAGGGACGTGTGCGGGAGGTGGCCCGGAGCCGGTCTCGCCAGGCTGGGCGTGCACCATGAAAGCCCGGAGTGGGCACCGGAAGTCGCGGGTCTAAGCACACGGGACAGCCCGCAGGGTGCTGCCGACTCCCAGCGACAGGTGGGTACGCTCCTGAGAAGCTGCTACTGTGTGGCCTTGTTCTGTTCAGGCACTGAGGTAAGAAGGGTCGGAGGAGCACCGTGGCCAGCCCTCACCAGGGCAGCAGGCGTGTAAATAGAAACACAGGTAACATAAATAGAAGACCCGCAGCCAGGAGCAAGCCAGCCCCGGGGCGGGTCACAGCGGAGCCGCGCGTGGCCGGCGCACCCCTGTCCCCTGGCGGCTGGTCGGAGAGCCGCGATCCAGCCTCCAGGGCCAGAGGCTTAGCACCGAGAGGAGGCAGCCGCGGGCTTTAGAAAACCAGAGCTGGAAAGTATCTGGAAGATCTGCTCAGGCCTCCCGCCACCTTACAGATGAGATAACTGACGCCCAGAGAGGGGAAAGACCTCACTGGGTGACCCAGCCCTGTCGTCCTGCCACTCTGCCTCCACCAGGGAGGCCCATCCGCTACCTGAGCAGGAAGAGGAAATGGAAGAACAGAGGAGGGGGAGTTAAGACAGAAAAGTAGGGCAACTCCTTCGAGTCCCCTCCCACCATGGAAGCTTTTCTGTCCTCTCAGTAAATCCTGCTTTCAAAAAAAAAAAGGAAAAGTACACTCCCAGGAGGCAGCTTCTCCCGCCAAGGACAAGAGAGAGACCCAGGGTGAGGGACGGGGAGACACCAGCATGTGTGCCCACACAGTGCTCATTCACACATAGCATAATATCTGGAGTCCAGGCTGGTGCCCTAGCATGTGTGTGTTACTGGCAGGAAGCCCGGGGGGGACCCCCAGAGTAGGAACCAGAACCCTCACCCTAGACTGGGCCCTTCTGCACAGCAGCACTGTTTCTGTCCAGGCAGATGGAAGAACTACCCCACAAGCGCCCAGGTGACAGTGCAGCAGACATAGTGAGAGCTGGGGGTGGGTGGGGAGCAGGGCAGAGGGGAGGGGAACAGGCGCTAACCAAGATGACCTGCCCGTCCTGGGGCTGGCCTGGGCCTGGCTAGTGTGGGCTCCCCCGGCTCCCAGACAAGCTTGCCTGCCCTCCCCTCTTGCCCTCCCACCTCCCAGAGCCCCACAAGCCAAGTTGGGGCTGGGAGGGTGAGGCGGGAAAGGCAGGTCTCAGCCATCCAGAGAGCCGCTGCCCTTGTTCTTCCGGCTGAGGGGGAAGGCGGACTTGCTCTGGGGCTGCGTCATCTTGCTGGCCAGGTAGACGAAGGGCTCCAGGAGGGAGCGGCGGTCAGCCACCGACACCTCCCACAGCTTCACCTTCTCCGACTTGGCCCAGTGCTGAGCCACGTCCGGATCCACACGTCGCTGCTCCTGTAGGTCACACTTGTTGCCAAGGACGACAATGGTGACCTGGGGAAGGGAGACAGAATAGAGGCCTATGGGTGTAGCAAGGGCCCAGGAAGGGGCATGGGGGCTGGAGTCCTATGAGAGGAAAGTCTCAGCGGCTTTCTTATCCCTTTTGAAAGAGAAGCCACTGGCCAGGGGAGGAGATGCCGCCTTTTCTTCTCCTTCCTCTGTTCAAACCTTGGCCTTCCTCCAGCCCTGAGGTTCAAGAGTTCCATCAAGCCCTGTCTTACTCGCATGCTCGTTACTAGCTGCCAGTTTTTGGCTAAACAACCGGTGAGGAAGTGATCTCAGGATGCCCACAGCTTAGAGGGGGATTCTGGAAAACAGAAGGGCCTTCAGAGCTAAGAGCATGGAACCATCAGGAAGAAAGGCTAGCGGAAGCTTCAAGCATTAGTCCAGGGAACCCTTACACCAAAGAGAAGCAGAGAAGCCTCTGGTTGAATGGCCTCAACAGTGGTCACCTCAGAGGGTGAAGACACCTCCACCCACCCCCAGCTCCTCACCACCTCCTGGCCAGTGAGTGGGGCACAAGCCACGAATGCCTCCCAAGCCAGCCCAGGCCAATGTTCCCTGACCATGGAGGTTCCCACCAGGAGCTGCGGCCACGCACCTCCTTCTTGTCCTTGGATTTGTCAATCTCCTTCTTGAGAAGCTCCACCCGCTGAAAGGACTCTCGACTGTCCGTGCTGTAGACCAGGACATAGCCATCGGTGCAGGAGAAGCAATGCCGGGGCAGCTCAGCCCCGTCTCGGAGCCCCCGCGTGTCATAGAAGCGCACCTGTTCCCGCACCCCCCGGTCTGTCTCGATGGAGCCCACATAGATGTCCTCCTGTGTCTCGATCATCTCAGAACCTAGGATGAGACGAGAAAACTGTTTCAAGTGCGAAGGCCATGGGAAACGTGTATGATGAGGACATCATAACTGCAGGCTGGCCAGACAGGGAGAGAGAGGAATGTGAGGGCTGAGGAGAACTGAGAGTCAAGAGCAGGACTGAAATGACTCGGGTCTGGGGAACAGATCTCCATCTCATGTGCATGCCGTGTTAGGCAGAAGTGTACCATGGGAGTTTGTCTGCCCTATCTTGGACACTGGGCTTCTCTGTTCCACAGTTGTTCAATGTCACAGAGTTGGGGATGATAACATAAGCTTTTGGGGGGTTTTCTGAGTCAGAGTCTCACTCTGTCACACAGGTTGGAGCACAGTGACATGCTCATGGCCACCGCAACATCGACCTGCTGGGCTCAGGAGATCCTTCCACCTCAGCCTTCCAAGTAGCTGGAACCACAGACGCGTGCCACCACGCCTGGCTAATTTTTTGATTTATTGTAGAGACGAGATCTCATCAAGTTGCCCAGGCTGGTCTCGAATCCCTGGACTTAGGAAGAAAGGCTAGTGGTAGCCTTTGCTTGCCTCTGCTTCTCAAAGTGCTGGGATGACAGGCATGAGCCACCACGACCGGCCTATAATTTTATTCTTAGGGTCAGCTCCACCAGGAACAGCTTTAATCTCTGTATATTGTGATCGAAACCTTCTCCTTCAACTCATTCCACCATTCGCCCACCCCCACTGACACTCACCCACGACATGGTTCCCATACAAAAGCTGCTCCAGGATGGATGTTTTTCCCACGGATGCCTGGCCACACACAACCACCTTGCAGCTCTTCCCCATGCTTAGTCTTTAACCTTGAGGAACAGAACATACTGGGTGAGGTGAGGGAAGAGGATCAAAACGAGGGGAGTTACCTGCAGATGTTTTCTGGTAAACCAGGGGGAAAAAAACAAAAAACAGAAGTCAGACCTCCCAAGCCCAGAGCCTAAGTCCTGAGAGGAATGCATAGCCTCAGGGCCTCAGCATCATCCCTACTCTCATCGGAGAGTACTGAACTGATGTGGCTATGTCCACACTGTATCTTATCCATCTTTGTGACTCCCTGTATGTAGCCAGTATCTGCACAGAGCAGGTGCCCAGTAAATGCTGCCATAAGGGAAAGGAGAGTCACTGGCTTGAAGAAATCACCGGCCAGGTGCCTTTCTGTGCACCAGGTGGAGAGAGGACCCCTTGTGAAGGGAGTTCAGCCTGGGCTCCTCTCTTCTTTTCTTTCTTTTTTTTAGAAAGCAGGATTTATTGAAAGGACAGAAAAGCTCCGACAGTGGGAGGGGACCCCAGGCGGCTGCCCTCTTTTTTTTTGAGTCGGACTCTGTTGCCCAGGCTGGAATGCAGTGGTATGCTCACGGCCACTGCAGCCTCGATCTGCCAGGCTCAAGAGATCCTTCTGCTTCAGCCTTCCAAGTAGCTGGAACCACAGGCATGCACCACCATGCCTGGCTAATTTTTTCTTATTTACTGTAGAGACGAGGTCTCACCATGTTGCTCACGCTCAGGCAATCCTCACCATGTTGCCTGAGCTCAGGCAATCCTCTCGCCTCCGCCTCCCAAAGTGCTGGGATGACAGGCATGAGCCACCACGCCCAGCTATGCTCCTCTCTTTAACTGTGACCCCGTGAAGAAATACACAGGAATAGTACTTTGTGTGGGTCTGCCGTAAGCCACCTGCTCCTTGGGGAAAGTGAGCAAATACAAAAAATAATTTGCTTTCCTGTGTGACTTTTCCGGACAACAGTCAGTTCCTTTTAACCCAGAGTCAAGTCCACGACTAAGATAAACATCAGGCAAGCGATAAAGGAGTGAAAGAATCTAAAGGAAAAAGGCTTCGGATAGGAGATTTCGGTGGCCCTCGGACTGGCTGACCCAGAAGAGAAAAAGGCCAGACACCGAGACCCTTTCCCCGAAGGGGCCCAGACAGAGGTCTCCCAGAGCTCCAGACAAAGCTCCCCCCAACAGCAGAGATAGACACCACTCCCCAGAGGGTCCCAAACAGAAGCCGCCCCAGAGGACGCTCCTGACACAGACCCCCCTCCATAGCGAGCCCCTCAGCAAGGGACACCACGAGGCAGCCAGGGTAGCCCCGGGGAATCACAGGCGGAGACCTGCCCCCTAGAGCAGCGCGGAGGCGGAGGCCGATCGTGACGCCGGACGAGCCTCGCCGCCCAGCTCTCGTACCTCCCGGGGCCCCCGCAGCGCCAGCCGGGCCCCTTGGAGCGCGCGGGCACCAGGGAGAGGCAGCACCGCCTCAACGACTCCCTGTCCTCCGGGTCGGAGCCGACTCTGTCGGCCCCGCCCCCGCCGCGTCCCGCCCCCCAGCTTCCGGCCGGCAAGACGAGTTCCGGCGGCGGCGAACAGGCGCCGACTGCACAGTGCCCCCGGAGGCCGGCGGGGGAACGACGGCCGGTACCTGCCCTGGTTCCGCGCGGAGCCGGGTTCCAGGCTCCCTGGACGGGATACGCGTTGTTGGGCTGTCTCTGATGCCCAAATGTTCTCTCTCTAAAGTACAGTGACACAGTATCTCTTCGCTTATTCAATCTTTTATCCGTGAAATGTTTTCTGAGCACCTACTCTGCGACAGGTAGACCTGATGAATTTCACCATCTAGATTCAAAGCCTAGCTAAATGCCTAGACCGATCATTACAGTATACCATGGTGAGTGCTATTACATAGGTGCTCTGGGACACAGCGAAGGGGCATTTAACTTCGGGGCAGCGGACATCAAGGAGAATTTCCTGGAGGTGGCCATGTCTGTGCTGAGGTTTGCAGGGCTTCCAGGAAAAGGGGTTCTAGATTGGAGGAAATATGGCAAGTCATGGCATTTTCTGGAACTACAAGTGCTTGGGTTCAACATGGGTGGTAGAAAGGAGCTACATATTGGAATACAAATTAAATCGTTAAAGAAAGAAACAAGAGCCAAATAATCAAAGGCCTTGTGCTGTAGGCCAGAGAGATTCGACTGATGGCAATGGAGAGTCATTGCCCATGGAGTGATAGGATCAGTTTTTGCATTTGATTAGGTCACTCTGGCAGAAGAGGGAAGCTTGGAGAGAAATGAGACTGGGGGCCAACTGGGAGACTATTATAGTATTCTATGTTTGTTTGTTTGTTATTTTTAAGGGGAGGGGGGGTCTTACTGTGTTGCCCAGGCTGGATTCAAACTCGTGGCCTCAAGTGATCTGACAGCCTCAGCCTCCCAAGTAGCTGGAACTAGAGGCATGTGCCACTGCACCCGGCAGATTCCACATTTTTAAACGATGAGGGCCTGAATTGAAATGGAAGGACGAGATAGATTTGGGAGATGTTTGGTAGGAGAATCAACAAAACTTGGTGTTATGTTGGAAGCCAGGAGTGAGAAAGAGGGAGGTGTTCATGATCTCTTTCATCTTTCTCATTTGGTGACCAGGTGAATGGTTGAATTCATTTAACAGGGAATTCAGGAAAGAGAATCAAGTACATACAGATTTGGTAATGTTGCTGAGGGGTGAAGAGACCACGAAAAGTCCAACTTAAATGTAGTGAGCTGTGGGGATTTGCGAAGCATCTAAGAGGGGTCCAGTAGATAGCTGGATATGCAGGGCTGGAACTCAAAGAAAGGTCTAGTTTGGACACATCACGGGCTGGGCATACTGGCTCATGCCTGTGATCCCAGCACTTTGGGAGCCTGAGGTGGGAAGATTGCTTGAGCCCAGGGGCTCGAGACCAGCCTGAGCAACATAGCAAAACCTCATCTCTACAAAAAAGTGAAAAAAAATTAGCTGGGTGTGGTGGCACGCACCTGTAATCCCAGCTACTCAGGGGGCTGAGGTGGAAGGATCCCTTGAACCCAGGAGGCTGAGGCTGTGGTGAGTTGTGATCATGCCACAGCATTCCAGCCTGGGCAACAGAGTGAGACCCTGACTCAAAAAGCAAAACAAAAAGAGACTTGAGCATCATCAACAGATGAAGTTCCAGTTGGCTTTGATACAGAGAACACAAAGTGGAAAGATGGTCAAAGACAGGTCAGCTGGGATTGGACTGTAGACTGCGGGCCACTGGCACACAGGGTAGATGGTCTGTGAGTCTGTGCCCTCCAAACCTAGCACACAGTAGGCCTTTTGGAAAGGGTCACTGAATGACTGGCTGGATGAATGACTCCTCCCTTCCCATCTGGTGGTCCATGTCGTTTCAGCTCCCTGGGCACTGTGACAGGCAGGAATCATGCCAACAGGGTAGGGACTCTGGCACATTGTTTTAAAATTCCTTGTCTTGGCTGGGCGCGGTGGCTCAGCCCATAATCCCAGCACTTTGGGAGTCCAAGGCGAGAGGTTTGCCCGGGGTCTGAGACCAGCCCAGGCAACTTGGTGAGACCTCATCTCTACAATAAATTACAAAAACCAGCCGGGTGTGGTGGTGTGCGTCTGTAGTTCCAGCTACTTGCTACTTGGAAGGCTGCGAGGGAAGGATCGCCTGAACCCAGCAGGTTGAGGCTGCGGTGGCCATGAGCGTGCCACTGCACTCCAGCCTGGGTGACAAGAGACTCCAACTAAAAAAAAAACGAAAACAAAAAAAACCCCTTGGCTCCTTCTTATTTCAGTTCCCCTTAGCTTTACGTTATGACTTCAAACTCCCCCTACGTAACCCCAGAAAGCTCCGATTTAATTCAACGCCACAAATACTGGCTTGGGCGAGTGCCTATGACAAGGTGATTAAACTGTGCCCTCGCCCCCTGTGAGTTCCCCACCCAGACCGCACTCGGCAAGACGAGCGTGCTGAGCAGGGAGTTCAGGTGGCCGGTGGGCGTGCCCGGGATCGGGGGCAGGGGCCTCACCCCCGCGGGCTGCCTTATAAACCTCAGGGCAGGGTCTGGGCACCACGTCCTGGCTGCCCCCTTCCCCGGGCTGAATGCTGAGACGGCACTCCCAAGCGGCTGACATGAAAGCAGCTCCATCAAAGGGTCGGCGTCATTGGGGTGATGAGCCAGGCGGTGCTTGGAGATGGGGGGGGGATGAAAGGCGCGGGGTGAAGACGCCCGGCGTTCCCCCGGCTTGGTTGGGCAGGGCTTCTGGGGCACGATGAAAGCCGGGGGGGCTGGGCTCAGAGTGTCGCTTGCCTTTCCCGGGAGGAAGCCGTGGACACACTCCAAGGACGGGAAGGTGGCGGTGGGGACTCGCTCCCTCCAGATCCTGGGGCTTCAGGTCCCCACCCAGCCCGGACGCCCCCAGCCTTGCGGGAGACGCTCTAGGATTGGTAGTTGCCATGGCAACGAGACTGTTGGACTACTGAGGAAAACCAAGCCCTAGAGAGGCTGCACCCCGCTGTACCCTTCCCCCCTTTTCTACCCACGGGTACACTGGCGCCCCCTACGCACAGGAGCTGTCCCTGGGCCCCCGCTCCGGCGCGGAGACCCCCGTGGACCTCCGGGGGCGGGAGGCCGCTCTGGCCGCAAGTCGAGCCTCTCGCTGGTAGACGGGCCCGAGGGAGCCCCTCTGGGCGCGGCGCCGCGGAGCTGCTCGATGCTCCGGCCGGAAGTGCTCTTCACCGCCTGCCTCTCACCCGGCTCTCTGGTCCCGGCGGTAAGATGGCGGCTGCCGCGGAGTGCGATGTGGTAATGGCGGCGACCGAGCCAGAGCTGCTGGACGACGAAGAAGCGAAGAGGTAAGAGGGCGGCAGGGTAGTGGAGGGGGCGCGCTTCAGCTCCGTGGCCGTGATGCAGGCCCCAGCTGTCGAGGCCTTGCCCCGCCCTCCGCGAACAGCTCCCCCAATCTGAGATCAAGGCCGGATGGACCCCCTGAAGGGGCGCTCTTGGGGGTCGGCCTTCCCCTCCCGCTTCCGCCTGGCGGGGGAGCCGAGGCCCGGCTTCGTTCCCCAGCTGAGAGGAAGGTCGTCCTCGTTGTAGAGGCTGGGTCTCCGAGGGGGGGTTCCGAGGTCCGGTGCGGGGTGGGGGAGGCGGCGCGGCGTCGGTGACGACTTCCTTACGGGGCCCCGACCCCCGCCCTCTCTGGTTGACTTCTGTGCATCGTTGTCTGGTCTGCGCTTTCCGTCTCCAAAGCCCTTGTTCTCCTCGCCACCTGCTCCCCCGTCATTATGCCCTGGCGACCACTAGTCAGGGTCCGAGGTAATTGTGCGTTTCCATCGGTGGTCTCGTCGCCTCAGGTGACCCCAGAAGTCGAAGACGACAGAGGAACAAGGGAAAGCGAGGGGCTCATCTCTTGCTCTGCACGTCGGGCTTCCGGTCCCCCGTCCTTCCTGGGGGAGAGTCTCACCCATCTCCCGGGACTCTACTTCAGTGGAGCTGCAGGGGGGAGGAGGGTGCCTGCTTGGGCGTCGAGTCCCCAGGCAGCCGCAGTGCTCGGACTGGCCAAGGGAGCTGCTGAGTGAGTGGTTTTCGAGAACACTCTGGATTCCGGCAGCAGCTAAGCCAGGTTGTTAGAAGCGGGGGTTGGAACACAGTTGTGGGTAGTCATACTTGTTCTAATTCCTAAAGCGGAATTGACGAGAAAGGTCCTGGAGGATCGGGGCCCTTTCCTTATCAGCCAGGGATTTATCTGATACTTTCGTTCAGGATGGACTGCAACCATCCTCCATCTCCTTCCCACGTGTTTCGTGTCTCTCTCTCTCTCTTTTTTTTTTTCCGTCGGAGTCTCACTCTGTCGCCCAGGCTGGAGTGCAGTGGCAGGCTCATGGCCACCGCAGTCTCGACCTGCTGGGCTCAGGCAGTCCTTTCGCCTCAGCCTTCCAAGTACCTGGAACTACAGGCGCACACCACCACGCCCGGCTAAGTTTGCGTTTCATCTCTTTATGCCAAGCCCCTCCTGTCTTCAGTCTGGGTAATTTGAGTGGTGATGTAGAATTCATGAGATCTGAGGTCAGGATTCTGAGATTTTTTTTTTTAGTTATCCAAGTTAGAAACTTAAGAGGTACTCAGGCACAGTGAACAGTTACCAGGCTTACGCGTAGTTACCACAGCCAGTGTCTCAAGTTCCTGACCTTTTGGGAGCTGAGAGGCTGGACAAAGTGTAATAGGTCCCTGGGTATCAGAGAAACTGGGGTTCCAAAGTGTGCCCTCTCTCTCTTCTTAGTTTTGAGTTTGCATGTCTTTCCTGACTTCTTTCCAGATTTTTTTTTTTTTTGAGTGGTATTCTCACTCTGGCGCCCAGGTTGGAGGGCAGTGGCACGCTTGGGGTCACTGCAGGCTCGACCTTCTTGGCTCTCAATCCTTCCGCCTCAGTCTTCCAGGTAGCTGGAACTACAGGTGTGCACCACCACATCCTACTAATTTTTTAAATTATTGTAGAGATGAGGTCTTGCCCAGGCTGATCTTAAACCCCTGGGGTCGGACAGTCTTCTTGCCTTGACCTCCCAAAGTGCTGGGATTACAGGTGTGAGCCACTGCACCAGGCTCTTTGCAGAAAAAGTGAAGCACTGTCAGCTCATAGAAGTCATTAAGGAATTGCAAAATGGGAAACAAAACCTTCCAACACAGAGCTCAAAATGACTGTAGGGATTTACTTTATTTGCATTTGGAAGAAGTTCAGTGTTTCTATGGTCTATCAGTAGGGACTTTGGCCTTAGGTAACTTTAAAAACTCATGCTACTTAGTGTAAAGCAAGTGTCTCTAATTTGGGTTTCACTTCAAAGCTCCTTGTCTAAAGTAAAATCTTTTTCCTTAAAAAAATCACAGCTTTAGGATATTCTATCATAACATTGGTGTAGATGAACCTGAAGGTATATTAAGAAACATAAAACAGGCAATGCTGTAATGTAACCACATCACACACAAAAACATGGTATTTGGTAGCAGTGACACCAAAAATAAGAGAGGGTGTTGACTTATTTCATGGAATCTAAGACATTATTGATTGTAAAACGCAGTTTTATCTTTCACTAAGAAAATATAACTGTAAAACTATGAAAACAGGCATTCTTACCAGACAGACTTATATGTTACATATAATTATGTAGAGCACTTTTAGACATAATGAAATACAAGACCAGGTGCCGTGACTCAAGTCTGTAGTCCCAGTACTTGGGAGGCCAAGGTGAGAGGATTGCCTGAGTCCAGGGGTTCAAGACCAGCCTGGGCAACTTGACGAGACCTCGACTCTACAATAGATTAAACAATTAGCCAAGCATAGTGATACACGCCTGTATTTCCAGCTACCTGAAATGCTGAGGTGGAAGGGTTGCCCGAGCTTGGGTAACAGAGTAAGACTCAACTCCAACAACAAAAAAAGATAGGTATTCACATATTCAGTAAAACGGTCAGCAACTTCCCAGGAAATATAAGGCCTTAAGTTAGTTGAAATGCAAAACCTCTGGAATTTAATCCTCTGGTTCCTAAGTAGGTTTATCTGTTCTGGTGGGCAAAGAGAAACAAATAATATTCATGCCCAGACCCTGATCTATTTGAGTGCCAACTTATACAGCTTTTATTTTAGCCTCTTGGCTGCTATGGGGGATCTCTGTCAGAGTGACAGGCAAAAAAATTGAAGTCTATTTCTTTTTTCTCTAGAGACAATAAGGCTATGGAGATAAAACATGTCACCTGCAGGAGTCCAGCTCCTGCAAGGTTCAGAGGTTCCTGGAGGTGAGATGGAGTAGGCGACTAGCGGGGGAGAAAGAAAGGGACTGGACTACTGTTCAAAGTGAGCAGAAGCCATTTATTGCAAATTACAGTGGGCTTTTATCCCTAAATTTTGCAAGGTCACCATCACAAAACAAAATGTAGCATGTGCCTTTCACATGAACAGGTTCAGGTGCACAAAGGACACTACCCACTCTCAAGCAAATGTTTTTTCATACATAAGGAAGAACATGAGGAAGAACAACCACAAATTGTCTTTTTGTTTCTTATGCTTGATTAATGTTCCCCAAACCAGTTTTTTATGTGCCCTTAATTGTATTACAACTACATCATCTTGAAATAACATCACTCAATGTGTAAACCCGAAATCGCCATAATGAATTATTAACTTCTACTATTCTGTACTAATTCAAACTAGTTTCTGTTAAAAACAATTGCTGCTATGGTTATACTCTCCTAACACCAGCTGGCCTAATTCAAACTTCACTGGCCCCCCTAAATCAAACTAAACTAACCACACTTTACAATAAGATGATTACCTAAATTTTCTTCAGTTTCTATAAACTATTTCCTAAAATCTATATCTATAAATTTCTAAGATCACATCAAGAGAACCTGTGACCTGCACTAAGGCTCCTCAATGTGACTCAAAGTTGAACTTAAATTGTTTAAAGGCAAAAACTGCAAACCATGGAAAATGGGAACAATAGACTCCCAAGTTTAGCTGTGTATGTTCCGGTCTCAGAGTTTTCTGCTAGAGCCAGCAGGAGCCTTTTCTGGTTGCAGTGCCAAGTGGAAAAGGAGGGAGGGAGTGGGGTCAGCAGCTCCCGAACACATCCTAGTGGTCTCAGGGTCAACGGCCCTTCCTGATCCTTAATGCTCAGTGGGCCTCCATGGTCGGCTCCCAACAGTAACCATTTAAAACACTCCAATCACCAGGTCTGGTGTCTAGAAAGCTCCTCTAATCTTGTTTCTATAAGACTGACGATTTAGCAGCAGCAGCAGGACACACTGGAGCCAAGACATGAGAAAAGGCTCCCTGCTGGACCTGACAAAACCAACCTGAGACCCATCCCCTCTTGTGTCCCCAAGTGAACTGATAATAGGACTGTAACAAGGCACCAAGAAGACGTGGAGAGAAGCAGAACACCAGTTGACAGTCCAGACATCCCACTCCTGTTCCCATCTCCACCTGACCTCCCGAAAACCCTCAGGAAGTGACCTTTTTCTTAATTGTAGTTCCTCAGTTTTAGATTTTTGTGGGTGCTTGTGTTTTCCATGAGGGTAGTGGGAGATATCACAGAATGGGGAGCCAAGGGATGGGAAACGGTGGCTTTGGGGATATATTGTGAAGACAAGCCTCTTGTTAATGCTGCAAAGCCAGGGACTGTGTCCCCAGAGTAGCTGCAGAGAAGCTTGTTCTCAAGAGTAGCTTTATGACTGGGTCTCCTCTCTGCAGGGTCAGTGTAGGTTAGGTAGACGTCATAGATTGTGATGCCTGTCATTGAGGGAACTGGCACATGTTTGAAGCTCACAACTGTGGTAGCTGTTTCCAAATGACTCCCCTCTACCTGCACGATGGGATTCCTGTGTGGACAAGTTGGTTGGTTGCTTTCCCCCACTGAATATCTCCCACTCCAGTCAGCTGCTGATGCCCTTCCATGCTCCAGCAGTAGAGAGTGCTGCTGCTTTGTGTGGACTTCATCTGTGGCTCCTGGTGGTGCCTCGTGGGTCCCTCTGGCTCTGCCCCTTTAACGTCCACACAGAGAACAGTTTGAATTGTCGTGTTGGGGAATATTCTCCATCTTTATCTTCCACCTTCCCTCTTTTTGGGGGGAGAAAGGTAGGAGGGGTTGTTTTAATTCTGCTTTAAAATGAAAGCAGAAGCTGACCCTTCTGTGGGAAAGTGGATGAGGGAAGCTGGCTGGTAGGCAGCTTTGCTAGCGGAGGCAATCATACAGAGCCCACCTTCTGTCTTCTCTGGCGGTCATGAAGCACCTAGCACATGCTACCTTGGGATGTTTTTGAAGTCCTTCCAGGTCACACAGGTGGCTTCCACTATCTATGTGAA